CGGCGCGCGATCGGTACGTGGTCCTTCTTCTCGCCGTCGGCCATGGTGGCCGCGAGCTCCTTGAGCCGCACTTGCTCTTGGATGCGCGCGCGCTCCGTGACAATCTCTTTGGCCCGCTCCTCCGTCTCCACCGGTAGGATCGAGTCGCCTGTCTTGGGCAGCTCTTTGAGACCCACCATGCGCACGGGCATACTCGGTGACGCGGTTTTGACCTAATGCAACACGTGGTTTGGACACGCAGGATTAGAGATTCCATTGCGTACGGGCTTGCCGTTTTCATCGACGAGCGACTTGATCTTGCCGTACTCGAGGCCGCAGACGACAAACTGGCCGACCGAGACCGTACCCCACGTCACCATCATGTCGACCGTGGTGCCCCACCTAGGGGTAGGGTATGAGAAAAGGCGCGCTCAAACGGGATCGAAGCGTGTACCCGCGCACGAGCGTGGCTTCGACGACTACCCCTTCACCCGGCGCGGTCGTGTCGGCGCGGAGGTCCATGAGCTCCGCCTGGAGCACAATGGCCTGCTTGAGCTCGTCCAACCCTACATATATACATACGTCGTTCGTTGCCGTCAACTTGAACGAAAATGAAGCACACAAAGTTACATACCCTTGCCCGTTTTGCCAGAGACGCACACGAGCTGCGTGTCGTGCGCTTCAATGCCGTTGAACTCGAGTTCTTGCGAAATGCGCTCGATGACTTCGTCTTCCTGGTCTTCGAATCTACATCGCGCACAAAATATCAATCGATCGGACGACACGCATTCGAGTTCGCACCGGTCGCACTTGGTGATCGCAATGATCATGGGCAAATCGTGCTCTTTCGCGAGCTCGAGAACCTCTTTGGTCTGCGGGCGGATGCCGTCGTCGGCCGCGACGACGACCACGAGCACGTCCGTGAGGTGGCAGCCCTGCGCGCGCATGTTGCTAAACGCGGCATGGCCTAGAAACACAATAATCGTAAAAAGGATCCCATTGCGGGATCGAAGCGCGTACCAGGCGTGTCGAAGAACGTGATGGGCGTTGGCGACTCGTCCATTGGCACCGTGAACGCGCCAATGCTCTGCGTGATACCGCCGTGCTCCTTGGTCGTCGTGTTGCGCAGCGCGTCCAGAAGCGTCGTCTTGCCGTGGTCGACGTGGCCCATGACCGAGACCACCGGCGGGCGCACGGGAAAGCTGCTGCAGTCGTCCGGGATCTGCGTCCGCGTCAAGTCCACGAAACCCTGCATGAGGATCGGGATCATGCCCATCTCTTCGACCGCGAGCTCGGCGACTTCGGCCGAAATCTCTTCATAGCCGCATGAGCATCAAGGAGATACGTAGAAACGATCGAGTCGGTCATACCCGTGTCATCGTTGACGCGCTCGCCAAGGCTCTTGAGGACGCGCACGAGCTTGAACGACTTGATGCACATGCGCTCCGCGAGGTCCGAGACTGTGATCGTGGTCGGAATCTCGACCTTGAGGTCCTTGAGGTGCTCGGCGATCATTTCACGCTTGCGCATCTGGTTGTTCTTGGAGTTGCGCGACCGCTGCGCCGAGTTCTGACGCTCCTGGAAGCGCCGGCGGTCGTTCCGAGGCCGCGACTTCCAGTCAATGTCGGGGAAGAGCGACGACTCCGAGTCGAAGAGACTCTTTTCAAACTGCAGCGCTTTTTGCGCAGCAGTGTGGGCATGCGCCTTCTTCTTCGGGTCCTGAAAGCTGTGCGAGTGCGGCGGGTTGTGGCGCCAATCCTTGCGCGTCACGTGCTTCTCGGCCGGCTTGGAGGTCGGCAGCTTGGACGTCGGCAACTTGGACGTCGGCAGCTTGGGCACAGTGACCTTGAGGTCCGTGTTGCCAAAGAGGCGGAAGCGGCCCGGTTCACCGCTCTTGATCGGCGTCGGCTTTGTCTCCGTGCGCAGCATGCGCGCTGGCGACGCGACCGGCTTGGGCTCCTCGTACGCGACCCACTTCTTGAGCTCCTTGTCCCACGTCTGGCGCTGCTTCTTTCCTTGACGACCGCATCGGTCGACGCGGCGCCGGCCTTGGGCGCCATCGTCACCGGCTTCTTCACGTGCGGCTTGCTCGGGAAGAGGTCGGTGCGCGGCTTGGGCGTCCAGCGCTTGCCGCCGCCGGGCGTGCTGTGCGGCTTCGTGCTGAAGCTCATGGCATGGGCACGGCGCAGGATGTCACCGACGAGCGGTCGCAGTTGGGCGGCCATCGTAGCGAGGACTTCGGCAAACACCAACGAATGCAAAGGAGCACCCGCGCAAGGCCATTGGCTCGCGCATGGCCAATCCGACGCCGCCCTTTTTATTATTTTCCGCGTTTTTAATGCTACATAAAAATATCCAGTGCGTGTATTATATTTTTGTGCTCGACGGCCGCAATCCGTTTGGATGCTTCGGCATATGCCACATCAAAAAGCAAAAGTGGCATCCAACTCGATCCTCCAACAAGCTCCTGCAATGCGGCCCTTAAGCAGACGCCGTAGTACGACACACCTTTGGACAGCCATTAGCAGTACCAGAGAGGGAGTAGCCACCGCGGCCTTTACCACGCCTTGCAGTGAATGCACATGCTGCAGAGAACAGGCGGCCAATGCGTCGTTATGCTCACATGCCTTCGCGTGGCGTCCTCGAGGCCGAGAGTGTGTGGCACGAACTGGTCCTTGCATCCCAACTACCATGACATTCTAGCGAAGTACGCAGCGATCAGTCGCATTGCAAAGGCTGCATTTTGGCAAGTGTACCTAGCAGTGCACTTGGCGATCTTCCATGTGAGGCCACGAGGCCTGTACGAGTTGCAGGAGCAGGCAGGAACGACCACGAGGCCTTGATTCTGACATGCACATATTGCCACATGCGCTGCCTTTCATACTAGAGGCGGCGTCTGCACCGACTGCCTGGGCAACGCCCGATCCCGGCAACACCATGGCATTATGTAGTCGATCTATCTGTGCAATCGCGTTTCATAGCCTGGATGATTCGGAAGATTCGGTTCAGTGGCAGATCGCGAATATAGAACGTGGCGCGACGAGGTGCCAGTTACGACTTCGGAAAGGCCAACGCGTGAGAAACCATCAGAACCAAGTCGGAAATGCTGCGCACAGTCACCGGTGCGACGCTCGTGCAGCTCGGGTGCGGCGTCGTCAATGGCTTCATCAGCGTCCTCGCGAACCTCGACACGGCCTTCTACGGTAACCCGCTCGACGGACGCACCTTGCATGCCTACTACGTGGCCATGGGCGTCTTTGCGCTCGGCGTCCTCCTCGTCGGCGTCGCCTACTCCAAGCTCTCACCATCGCGCTGGGTCGGGCTCGGCGCCGCCTTGGTCGCGTTAGGCTACGGCCTCACGGCCATTGGTGTCCACACCACGTCGGCAGCGCTGGTGGTGCTCGGCTATGGC